GGAGTAGGAGTTAGGATTAGCTGATGTTCCTGGGGAGACAGGGGTGCGCGTGAGTGCAGTTATTGCCGATGGGTTCGTTGAGTGGGTTGAGAGGCCGCTCTCTATCGGCACTACCTTTCACACCACTCAGCTGATGACCGGTTATAGCTGTTTTCCGGCGTACCTATATAGAATAGGGAGGGCTGCATCTCCGCGATGCTTTTATTGCGGAGATGATGAGGATGACGCGGATCACACCCTGATCGTCTGCCGAGAGTGGACGGGTGAAAGGAATGCTTTGGTAAGGGAGTTGGGGGGAATACGGCTCTCCCTTCCCGGCATAGTCAGGGCATCTCTGAATATGCCGGGGGGATGGGCTGCATTCAAGGCTTTTGCAAGACGAGTGATGCGAAAGAAAGAACAGGATGAGAGAGACAGAGAGTGGATGAGTGTGAGAAGGATGCATGCGGGGTCGCAGAGAGGTTTTGTACCTAGGCGACCCCCTCGAGCGAGACTTCGGGTGGCTTAGGCGGCGAAAGGCCGAGTCCTGTGCGCTGCTCCCTTCTGATTATGGAAGTGAATGTAAGAATGGGTGAATAGGCCTATCCTGCACGTCATGGGACGGAAGGCTGGGCCAACTTGGATTATGTCTCGGTTAAGCTGCGCCTCCAGGAGGGATAAAACCCTACTGTCGAGTGCGCCTCAGTATGCGTGGCGTCAGCGTCTCCAGAGGGAAGGTCCCTGTTGAGTGTGAATGACGAGAACATGGCGAATTCCGGCTGGACTTGTTTGGGGAGGTGGCATCTGGCATGGTATGCACGAACCGTGTGTTGCGCCTTCCTCTTTCTTTGGTACCGGGCCCACGGCGCCTTTGGAAGGTTTTTCCCCCTGACGAAAAAAAAACAAAAAAAAAGGTCAGAGCGGGTTTAATCAAAGTTGGATAAGGGCAGATAAGGTTAGGGTTATGTAACAGCGAGTTAGGTCAAGGTTAGGTCAAATCAGGTAAAGTCTGGGTTATGTAAGAGCGGGTAAGGTTAGGGTTTGTTCAGATCGGGTTTTGTAAGGGTTAGGTCAAAGCGGGTTCGGTCAGAGTTAGGTCAGAGTTGGTTAGGTCAGGGTTTTGTCGAAGCAGCTTAGGTCAGGTTTACGTCAAATCAGGTATGCTCATGGTTTGGTAAGAGCTGGTTAGTTCAAAGTTAAGTTGGAGCGAGTAAGGTCAGGGTCAAGTCAGAGCGGGTTGAGTATGGGTTTGGTCAGAGCACGTTAGTTTAGGATTAGGTCATACGGGTTAGGTCAGCCTGCTGTGGTCGGGCCATCAATGATATTAGCTCATTAGATTCAGTCTTGAAATTTTTATTCGTATGTATACGCTCTAAGGCTTGAAAGCCAACGATTTAAGACATTTGTTAATTGTCACTTCTTAAGAGCTCTTATAGCTTGCCACTACGTACAGGTCCGGAAAGCAGCTAAAAATTCTTTTAAATTTATAGAGAAATGTTCGTAGACGGAAAAAAATTTCTTTTAGACACTAAACAAATTGAACGATTTTTCCTCTTTCTTATACTGCTGTGGTTGGATATCAATGATATTGTGACGTCCCGCCACGATATAACTTTTAGAATATTATTCTTTTCTCCTTAACGACACTTAATATTTCTTAGTACTTTTCCATCGCATGATATACCAGGAAACCTCCTCTCTATTTCTTATACGTGTGCGACCTATTTGTCCTCTACGGCGGTTCACGCGCATTCCAGAAGTGCGACCTGGGCGAAATCTGATGATCGCATCCGCTGGCCGTTAGTTTGGTACAGTCGGATGTACTGGATCGAAACTGTTAGACCATCAGCAGAAAATGAACATTTTTAGAAGTGAATAAAGAATGAAATCATAGGCGCCAAAGCGACCTAAATAATATATGAAAATGTGTTAATTACTGCTGCTGCACGCTGGCTCGTATGAAGCCTCCGCTAGTGCGACTTCTTCAAATTCTCGTGAAGCCGTTTAGGTCAGCGGAATTCGCTCGTGGGAACGGCTGCGAACAAGCCATCACTAGGACAGTTTTTACACTATAAAGGGAGTCACTCTTGGTTCCTCGCGAGTAATAATCAATTATTATTTTACGTGCATTAATTCGAGTATTATTTTTTGAACATTTAGCGAGCTATATTTTTTGATCATTTGAATATTATTTTCGAGATCTCTATAAGAGCATTATAAAGTATCGTCGTGTATTTAGTTATTGAGCCATTAGGCTATTAGTTTATGAAGTCATAGTTTTCCTAAAAATACAAAGTTTGGTGGAAGTGAGGTAAAACTTGTAAATTCTACAAATCTAATAAATAACTCGGTCAAATTCCACTAGTTGCGTTTAGTTTGTGAATATCTTGTGTGTTTGTTAGTTTTCGTTCTCCTTTTAAATAGTGTGTTTGTTGGAAACAGCGTCCGTATGCTCCGAGGAAATCATAATATCCCGATCGACGTGAAAGCAAGACGGGACTTCATAGATAACTTGTTAAGGGTCAGAAACGGAAGCGTAAGCACCTAATTGGATTGAGGATCCTGATATTGTAAAATTACGTGTTTGTAAGTAAAATGTTTTACCAAACACTAAATCATTTTGTGAACCAGAGCAACGGGGAATGGTTTTGAATTACTACTTGTAATAATCCTCCAAACTCCTCCTCATTCCTCTTATAAATTAGTCGCGTTTAGTATATTGTTTGCCATTTTTATTACTCTCAATTCTTGGGGTAAACGAACCCACCTGGTCCTTACTATACCCGGCGTAAGCAAAGTGGTTAAAACAGGCAATCTGTTAGTTAATACAAACATATTGCGTCTCCAAACGTAACAATATCAACTGATTTTTTTCAGTCCTAAAATTTTTATTCGTAAGTATACGCTTCAAGGCTTGAGCGCTAACGTTTCGAAACTTCTGTTAGTTAGCACTTCTTTAGAGATCCTACGGTTTGCTAATACCCACAGGCTGGAAAAGCAGCTAAAAATACTTTTTCTTATATACAGAAATGTTCATAGACGGTGAAAAATATGCTTTTAGACACTAAACACATTGAAATTTGTGTTAACAGTGATCGTTTTTCGTCAAAAAAGAATAAAATTCTACACGTATAAAAAACGAAAATATTTGAAAATGAACGATTTTTCCTTTTCTAGGCCTGCTGTTGTCGGACCATTAATGATATCAGCTAGCTCTTTTTTTTCGGTCTTCAATTTTTTATTCGCAGAAATACGCTTTAAAGCATTAACGCAAACGACTAATAACTTCTGTTAGGTAGCACTACTTTAAAGATCTTATAGTTTGCTACTACGTAAAGATCCGAAAAAAGTAGCAAAAAATTTTCTTAAATATGTAGAGAAATGTTCATAGTATGTAAAAAATGTGCTTCTAGAAAAAAAAAACAAATTAGATTTCAGGTTAACAACGATTGCTTTTCGTCGAAAAAACATTGAATTCTACTGGAAAAATAACAAAAATAGTAGAAATTAAAGGATTTTTCCTCTTTCTTGAACTGCTGATGTCCGACACATCAATAATATCAACTCTTATTTTTCGGTCTTAAAATTTTTATTCGCAGGTAAACGCTTCAAGGCTTTAACGCAAACGATTAAAAATTTTTGTAAACTAGCACTTTTTTCTAAGTTGCATTTGCGATAGCGGTTACAGTTACAGTTGTAGTTGCATGTGCAGTCACAGTTACAGTTGCAGTTGCAGTCTCAGTTGCAGTTGCATTTACAGTAGCAGTTGCAGTTGCATTTTCATGTTGCAGTTTTATTTGCAGTAATAGTTGCTGTTGCAGTTCAAATTGCAATAGCATTTGCACTTTTATTTGCCATTGCAGTTTCATGTGCAGGTTCATTTAAAGTTTATGTTGCATTTGCGATAGCAGTTACAGTTACAGTTGCTGTTGCAGTTGCTGTCGCAGTTTCATTTTCAGTTACTGTAGCATTTGAATTTAAATGTGTAGGAGAAGTTTCATGTGCCGTTAAAACTAATACAATACATATAATAAAAAAATATGCAGTTACAGTGGCAGTTAAAGTCGTAGTTTTACTTGAAATATCAGTGGCATTTGCAGTTGCAGATCAATCTGCAGTTATATTTGCAGTTATAGTTGCAGTTGCAGTTACAATTTTAATTGCAGTTAAAGTTTCACAAAATTGTACAGTTGCCTGTGCAATTTTAATTGCAGTTAAAGTTTCATGTGTAGTTTTATTTGCAGCCTCAGTTGCATTTGCGATAGCAGTAACGGTTACAGTTGCAGTAACATGTGTAGTCGCATTAGCAGTTTCAGTTGCATTTGCAGTGGCAGTTACAGTAGCAGTTGCATGTCAGGTGGCACTTACTGTCGTAGTTGCCGCTGCAGTTGCATATGCAGTTGCTAATGTAGTTGCAGTTACAGTTACAGTTGCTATGGCATGTGCATTTCTATTTGCAGTTTTAATGGCAGTTGCAGTTTCAGTTACAGTAGCAGTTGCATGACCAGTAGCCGTTTCATGTGTAGCTTTATTTGACGCCTCAGCTTTATTTGCGATAGCAGTTTTAGTTACAATTACTGGTGCATGTGCAGTCGCATTTGCAGCTATAGTGGCAGTTGCAGTCCAAGTTACAGATGCTTGTGTGGTGGTATTTTCAGTTGCAGTTGCTTGTGCAGTTGTAAATGCATTTCCAGTTGCAAGTGTTGTTTCAGGTACAGTAACAGTTGCAGTATCAGTTTCTTGTGCCGTTGCAGTTCCAGTCATAGTTGCGGTTTCTTATGCATTGTTATTTGCTGTCGATGTTGCCGTAGCAGATGCAATTGCAGTTGCAGTTGCAGGTGTTGTTGCAGATTCATGTTGTAAAGTAGTTGCAGTGACAGTTACAGTAGTAGATGCTGTTGCAGTTTCTTGTTTTTCAGCAGTTGCAGTTGCAGTTGCAGTTTTAGTAACAGTGTCAGTTACTTGTCCAGTTTCAGTTGCTGTTGCAGTTTCAGTTGCAGTTGCATGTGCAGTTTAAAATGTTAAAAAATAAATAATATAAATAAGGCATGCGCATTTGTAATTGAATGTACAATAGCAGTTGTAGTTGTATGTGAATTCGCAGTTGCAGTGGCATTTTTAGTTGCAGTTGCAGTTTTAGTTGTAGTTTCAGTTGCCTGCGCAGTCGCAGTTGCAGTTGTATTTGTTGTTTTAGTTGCAGTTGCTGTTAAATCTGCAGTTATATCTGCAGCTATAGTTGTAGTTGCCGTTACAGTGGCAGTTGCTTGTGCAGTTTCAATTGCAGTTAAAGTTTCATGTTTAGTTTTATTTGCAGCCTTAGTCGCATTTGCGATAGCTGTTTCAGTTACAGTAGAAGTTGTATGTTCAGTCGCATTTGCTGTTTTAGTTGCAGTTTTAGTTTCTGCTGCAATTGCAGTTGCATGTCCTGTTCCAGCTGCAGTTACAGTTACAGTATCGGTTTCTTGTGCAGTTTCAGATACAGTCCCAGTTGCGGGTGCTGGTGTAGTAGTATTTGCAATTGCAGTTGCCTGTACAGTTGCAATTGTAGTTGCAGTAGCAGTAACAGTAGCAGTTGCATGTCCAACTGCAGTTCTTTTTCTGTTGCATGTGCATATGCAGATGTATTTGCATGTGCCGCTAAAATTGGTAAAAATAAAATTATAATAAAAAAACAGTGGAAGCTACAGTTTTACTTGAATTTGTATATACTGTTGCGGTTGCATTAGCAGTGGAATTTACAGTTGCAAGTTTATTTGCAGGTACAGGTACAGTTGCAGTGGCATGTGTAGTCGCATTTGCTGTTTCAGTTGCTTTTGCAGTTGCAGTTACAGTATCGGTTGCAATTTTAGTTGCAGTTAGTGTCGCAGTTGCATTTCTAGTTTCAGTAACTGTCGCAGTTTTAGTTGCAGTTGCAGTTTTATGCTCTGTCGCTGCTAAAGTTACGGTTGCAGGTAAATGTGAAGATAAAGTTAAATTTGCATTTGCAGTTTTATTTGCATTTGTAGTTGCAGGCTAGAAGCAATATCAGATGCATTTGCGATAGCAGTTATAGTTACTGTTGCAGTTGCAGTAGCATTAGTACCTTTAGTCGCAGTTGCGGTCCCAGTTGCAGTATCGGTATCTTCAGCAGTCGCAGTTGCAGTTTCAGTGGCAGTATCGGTTACTTGTGCTCACGCCGTTGTAGTTGCAGTGACAGTTGCCGTTGCAGTTTCATTTTCAGTAAAAGTTGCAGTTGCAGTTGTAGTTGCAGTGGCAATTTTATGTTCAGCTGCAGTTGCAGTCACAGATACAGTTTTTTGTGTAGTAGTACTTGCAGTTGCAGTTACAGTCGCATGAGCAGTGCTATTTGCAGTTTCGGTTCCAGTTGTAGTTAAAGTCGCAGTGGCTCTTGTAGTTTCATGTGGAGTTACATTTTCTGTCGAAGCGGCATTTGCGATAGCATTTACAGATTTTGTTGCAGTTACATTTGCTGTCGCAGTTGCAGTTGTTGTTTTAGTTGCAGATGCAGTTGCTGTTTTTTGTGTAGTTGCAGTTGCAGTTATAGTAACAGTGGCATTTGCAGTTGAAAATGGTAAAATATATTTAATAAAAATGAGGCTAGCGCATTTGTAGTTAAATGTGCAGTTGCAGTTGCAGCTGATGTTGAATCTGCAGTTTCTTTTACAGGTAAAGTCCTATTTTTAATTTTATTTGCAGCTGCAGTAGCAGTTAGGGGGTAGTTTATGCTGCAGTTACAGTTGCAGTAAGAGTTTTTTGTGCATTTGCAGTTCCAGTCAAAGTTGCAGTTTCTTGTGCATTGTTATTTGCAGTTGAAGTGGCCTTTGCAGATTGAGTTGCAGTTACAGTTGCTGTTGTCGTTGCATTTTTGTGTATATAAGCAGTTGCATTAGCTAGTGTTGTTTCAGTTTTATGTTCATAAGCAGTTGCAGTTGCAGATGCATTTGCTGTTGAATTTTCAGGTAAAAAGGAACAAAATATTAATTACACATAAAATTCAGTTAGAGTTAAAGTAGCATGTGCAGTTGCAGCTGCCGTTGCATTTGCTGTAGCAGTGTCAGTTTCATGCGCAGTTTCTTTTAAAAAGTAAAAAACATATAAAAAAAACATTATTTGCTTTTATAGTTACAATTGCATGTGCAGCTGCAGTTGCAGTGACAGTTGCAGTTGCCATGGAAGAAGCAGCAACTTTTGCAATTACTGCTGGAGTTATAGTTGCATTTGCAGTTAAAACGTAAAAAATATAAAATAAAATAAAATGCAGTTTTAGTTGCAGTTGCAGTAGCATTTGCAGTTGCAATACTATTCCAAAAAAAGGAATATAAGCGAAATGTACCACATAACGAATAACAATACAGTTAGCTATAGGACAGACACGAACAATTTAAACAACATCTATAATGAAATTTTAAAATTCAATTATCATAACAGGACACACAAATAGAGGACATCATAATACTGAAGATACCTAGATTAATAAACACTAGTCTAGATAGAATCAGTATTTGATTACGTGTGATGAGATAAGGTGTTTAGGATCAAATTGTATTGTAATATGTTAAGTTTTATTGAAATGTATGACTCTGTAAAAAAGATAATATGTATTTACACGTGAACTGTAAATGATCAAGGTAAAAAATTAGAATGTATTGTAATGTTTTATATTTATTAACAAGTCATAATAAAAATTTTTTAGTTGCTGATGAAGTCCCCAGTAAGGGACGAAACGTACAACTAAGTAAAAATAAATTGTTCATAAGATTTAATAACCGTCTAAATTTCCCTTTGGGACTTATATTAATAACATATTTTTAGACAAGAATATTGATAATTAAGTTAAAAAAATATTTATTAAAGAAAATGCAGGATAAGTTGCGGTTAAAGTGTTTTGTTTAGTAGCAGTAAAAAGAAAAATATATATATGATATATAAAAAATGAGGCTGCAGTTCCATTTGCATAGGCAGTTGCAGTAGCATTAGCAGCTGCTGTTACAGTTGCCGTTAAAGTTGCAGTTGCAGTAGCATCGGCAGTACCAGTCGCAGTCACAGTTGCATGTGCAGTTGCAGTTCCAGTAAAATATATAATTAAATATACATTAAAAAAAGGGAATTGCATTAGCAGTTGCAGTAGCATGTGTAGTTGCAGTTGCAGTTGCAGTTGCAGGTGGATATTCTGTTAAAATGTACAGAACCGAATAAAAAAAAAAACCGTATTAGTGGCAGTAGCATGTGCGGCTGCAGTTGCAGAGTCAGTTTCAATGGCAATTTTTTGTGGAGTTAAAAAGCAAGCAGTATATATATATTAGGAAAATTAGGCGGTTGCAGTTGCATGAGCTTGTGCAGTTGCAGTTGCAGTGGCTGCTGCTGGTGCAGTTGCAGTGGCTGCTGCTGGTGCAGTTGCAGTTAGAGTTGCAGTTTTAGTAGCACAAGCAGTTGCAGTCGTATTAACAGTTGCATATGCAGTAGCAGTTCCAGTAGAAAGGATAAATTAATATATATTTAAAAAATGCTATTGCATTAGCAGTTTCAGTAGCATGTGCAATGACAGCTACAGTTGCAGTTGCATAGGCAAATTCAGTTAAATTTATTAAGGTAAAAACAGCTTTTATAAAAAAATTCAGGCTTAGTAGCGTTTGCATGTGCAGTGGCTCTTCCAGTAAAAAAAATAAAAAAATATATATTAAAAAAATGTGATTGCAGTTGCAGCTGCAATTACATTTGCAGTAAAAAAGTAAATATATATAAAATAATAAAAAAATGCAGTTTTATTTGCAGTACTATGAGCATGTGTAGTTGCAGATGCAGTTGCAGTTGCAGTGGCAGTGACAGTTGTAGTTGCAGTTGCAGTGGCAGATGGATATTCTGTTAAAAAGTACAAAAAATATAAAAATAAATAAAATGCTGTTGTAGTTGCAGTAGCATGTGAAGCAGCAGTTGACGTAGCAGCTCTTTGCAGTTACAGTTGAAGTGGTAGTAGCATTGGCAGTTAAAACGTAAAAAAAATATAAAATAAAAAAAAAATGCAGTTGCAGTTTCATTTGCAGTAGCAATTGCAGTTCTATGCGCAGTAGCTACAGCAGGTTGCTTTGCAGTTGCAGAAGCATGTAAATTGGCAGGTGAAGTTACATTTGCAGTCTATAAATAAATGATTATAATATAAAAAAAAGCAGTTGAAGTTGCCATAGCATGTGCAGTTTTTGTTTCAGTTCTATGTGCAGTAGCAGTTCCAGTAAAGAAGATAAATAAATATACGTTTAAAAAATGCCATTGCATTAGCAGTTGCAGTAGCATGTGCAGTGAAAATTGCCGGGTCAGTAAAATCGTTAAATATATATGTAGGAAACGGTAGGCGTTGCCGTCTTGTTAGCATAGGGCGATAGGATTTTGTTAGATTAAGTAACCGGGGACAACGGACGAAATAAAGGACAGTGAGTGTTGAGCGTTGTAAGAGAAAGGATCTGCGTTTTGTATTAATCATTAGAAATTGTAATTTAACTGTTTTTCCCATCAAAAATCCTACAAAATTGGGGGCTCAGCCGGGATTGAGGAGCTACAGCGTGTGAAGAGTAGGATTGCGGAAAAATAACAGCGAATACTGCGATAGCGAATTTGTGTGAAGTTTTGCGATAGTGAATTGGTTTGAATTTTTGCGATAGTGAATTGTTGAGAACTTTTGCGATAGTGAAGAATTAGCGTTAAACAGCGTGACAGAGAGTCGTGTGTGCGAAACAGGATAGAAGAGAAAAAATAAATCATGAGCGATGTACGTAAAGTGCCTTCAGAATTTTTAGTATCAGAATTGAAGGAGAAGTTGGAAGCTTTGGGACTTGCCACGACTGATGTTAAAAGCGAGTTGATAGCTCGCCTTATGGAAGCTGATCCATCGGAAAATTGGGTGATAGGAGACAGTATTGCGAGGAGGGATGTCGAAGAAACGCGGAACGTAACCGTAGCCGCGGCGAGTGAAAGTATGGATGAGCTTGCGCTTTTAAGACGAAAGATGGAAATCTTTCGAAAAGAGAAGGAGATAGCGGAACGAGAAGTGGAACTAGCGCGGAAGGAAATAGAGATCCTGCGAAGGACACAAAGTCCTGCTATTGGTCAATTGTACGGGTTGGAAGAGACGAAGCGGTCACCTACACAAACGGAGATAAGTAAATTATCGTTAAAAGCTGTTATTGAATTGATTGGATACTTTGAAGGGGAGGCAGATGAGTTTACAATATAGGAAGACCACGTAAACTACCTGCGTGACATGTATCATTTGACCGAAGACCAGGCGAAAGTGATGATCGTACAGCGTTTAAAGGGGCGAGCATTAGAGTGGTTTAGATCGCGGAGAGAATACCTGCATCTCACAGTGGATGAACTTTTAGTTGAGTTGCGAAAAATGTTCCATCAGCGAATCAGCAAGATGACCTTGCGAACAAGGTTCCAGGAACGTGTTTGGAAGCGTGACGAGTCTTTTAGCGATTACTTCCATGAGAAGATCATATTAGCGAGCCGGATAGAGATTGACGAGGAAGAAATGATCGAATTAATCATCGCTGGAATACCAGATCAATCGCTACGAGATCAGGCAAGGGTGCATGGTCATAAAAGGAAGGAATCCCTTCTGAGAGCGTTTGAGCATATATCGCTGAAAGGACGCCCGCAGCAGGCGAAGATGGGTAACTTAATGACACATCGAAGCAGCATAGACGCTTGCGTTAGAGGAAGGATAAATAACATATCAGATAACCGTTTGAGGTGCAAAAATTGCGGTACGATGGGTCATTTTAGCGAGGAATGCCCATATAAGAGTAGAGGCACGAAGTGCTTCGAATGTAGAGAATTTGGTCATATCGCGGTTAATTGCCCTAGAAATCGTATTGCTAACAAAAATTCATGTAAAATCTCGCGATCGGTGCGAGGAAAGTATTATAAGGAAGTAATAATAAATGGTCAGAAAATTGACGCGCTAATTGATACCGGAAGTGATATATCTCTAATGCGAGCCGCACAATACATACAAATAGGATCGCCTAGATTGAAAACGAATGAGATCAGATTTCGTGGAATAGGCTCGGAGGACAATAAAACGTTAGGGGAATTCTTTGCAGGTATTGAAATTGATGGTAATCAATACACCATTGAAATTTCCGTGGTACCCGGTAAATTGATGCAGCATGCTGTTTTGATAGGAACTGATTTTTTGGATACAGTGGATATTAATATTAGAGAGGGAAAAATTGCAATTAGCAAACCGTCAGGAAGCGGGGAGAACAGTGAGAAAGTAGTCGAAATCTTAAAGATAGACTGTGTATATGATACAAATGAGTTAGATCTGTCGCACATTCCGTCGAGTGAGCATAAAAAATTGGTGGTAGACTTGATTAATAATTATAATCCGGTGAAAGCGCGTGATGTTGGTGTTAAAATGAGTTTGATACTAAAAGACGAAGAGCCAGTTTATCAGCGGCCAAGACGTTTACCTCCGTCGGAAGGGCAGGAGGTAGAGAATCACATTAGTAATTGGTTATCTAGCGGTATTATTCAACCATCGTTATCTGAGTACGCGAGTCCAGTTGTACTAGTAAAGAAAAAGGACGGTAGTACAAGGCTCTGCGTGGATTACCGAAAGATAAATAAGAAAATAGTGAAGGACCGTTATCCGCTTCCGTTGATTGACGATCAGTTGGACGCGCTTCAGAATGCAAAAATTTTTAGTACATTGGATTTGAAAAACGGGTTTTTCCATGTACCATTGGAACCAGAAAGCAGAAAATACACATCATTTATAGTTTGTGATAGGCAATACGAATTTTTATACGTGCCGTTTGGGTTATGCAATTCTCCCGCAGTTTTCCAAAAATTTATTAATGCTGTGTTCAGGTAATTGATCGGTAAAAAGATAGTATTAATATACATTGATGATTTAATAATACCCTCAAAAGACCGTGAGTCTGGAATAGAATATTTACAGGAGGTAATTCAAGTGGCCGAACAATTTGGGCTAAACATTAAGTGGTCGAAGTGTCGTTTCCTTGAATCACAAGTGAAATTTTTAGGACATGTGATTGGAAACGGAAGGATTAGGCCGTCTAGAGGGAAAACGGAAGCGGTCATAAAGCTCCTACAACCTTCGAGCATAAAGCAAATTCAAAGTTTTCTGGGGCTAACGGGATTCTTTAGAAAATTCATAGCTAATTACTCCTTGATCGCGCGGCCATTGACGGATCTACTAGAAGCGGATGTAAAATTTGAGTTCGGGGAGAAGCAAAAAGAAGCAGTAGAGCAGTTGAAGCGAGCCTTAAGCAATAAACCAGTGTTGAACATATATAGGGTTGGAGCCGAAACAGAACTACATACTGACGCGTCTATGTACGGATATGGCGCAATCTTATTGCAGCGCGACGAAAATAATGATAAATTTCATCCGATCTATTATGCGAGTGGTAAGACTACATCGACTGAGGCGAAATACACTAGTTACGAGCTCGAAGTGTTAGCAATAATAAAAGCGTTACGGAAGTTTAGAATTTATCTGTTGGGTATACCGTTTAAAATAGTAACTGATTGTCAAGCATTTTCGATGACTATGAATAAGAAGGATTTATGTGTGAGAGTTGCTCGGTGGGCTTTGTTATTAGAAGAGTTCCAATATGAGATAAAGCATAGACCGGATAAAAGTATGTTGCATGTTGATGCGTTGAGTCGGAATCCATTGCCGACCAGCATGGTAATAGATGAAAGCGATGAGAGCGTGAATGTGAGGATTGGTAGGGCGCAGCGTAGTGATAACGAACTTGGGAAGTTCTTCGAATTGGCGCAGCGAGATGAGCTTAATGATTATAAGATTAGGTATGGCTTATTGTTTAAACAARACGAAGGGGAAATGCGATTAATTGTACCGAAATCAATGATCACCGAAATAATTAGGCGTGTTCACGAGAATGGGCATTTTTCAGCGGCAAAAACGGAAACGTTAGTGAAACGGAATTATTGGTTCCAGAATATGCGTTCAAAAATTGAAAAGGTTGTGCGTACTTGTGTAAGTTGTATTTTAGCGGAACGAAAACAGGGTAAACAGGAAGGATTCCTTAATCCTATTGAGAAGGGCAGCATACCGCTGGACGTATATCACATAGATCATCTGGGACCGCTAAACTCGACGAAGAAAAATTATAGATATATCTTAGTGGTAGTAGATGCTTTTTCTAAGTTTGTGTGGTTGTACGCGGTTCGGTCAACAAATACAGCCGAAACTCTAGATAGGCTTCGAAAGCAGGCGGTGATATTCGGAAACCCGAGAAGGATCATATCGGACCGTGGCACCGCCTTTACTGCGCATGAGTTTGAGGAGTATTGTTAAGAGGAGGGTATTAAGCACGTAAAAATTACAACCGGTGTGCCTAGGGGAAATGGGCAAGTTGAAAGGATAAACAGAACTCTTATTCCTGTTCTTACTAAGTTAGCGGCGCCAAAACCCCAAGACTGGTACAAATATTTGGGAAGAGCACAACAATGCTTAAATGCCGTTCCAAATCGCAGCACAGGGACATCCGCTTTTGACGTCCTTTTTGGAGTGCATATGAGAGTAAGAAATGATCCACAAATTCGAGAGATTATAGAGACCGAGTGGCTACGGGAGTTTCAAAAGGATCGCGATGAACTCAGAGATGCTGTTCGAGACCAGTTGCAGAAAGTGCAGCGAGAAAATATCAAAACATATAACAAACGACGTAAGGAAGCAAAACGATATAATGAGGATGACTTGGTGGCAATCAAGCGAACGCCATTGGTACCAGGCTTGAAGTTGGCATCGAAATATTTGGGTCCGTATCAGATAATAAAAGCCTTACGTAATGATCGATATGTGGTGCGTAAGGTAGGCGAATCGGAGGGTCCTTTACAAACTTCTACATCGGCGGATTACATGAAACCGTGGGTCGAAAGCATAAACATTGGGTTGAGTGATAGTGAGTCGAGTGATGATTAGTGATTATTGTGGCAGACGTGTAAATAACTATGAGTAAATGAAATTAATGCGAATGAATGAATGTGAAGCGAAACGGTATCTGAGGACAGATACCGCTGCAGAATGGCCGAGTGTAGGAGACGGTAGGCGTTGCCGTCTTGTTAGCATAGGGCGATAGGATTTTGTTAGATTAAGTAACCGGGGACAACGGACGAAATAAAGGACAGAGAGTGTTGAACGTTGTAACAGAGAGGATCTGCGTTTTGTATTAATCATTAGAAATTGTAATTAAACTGTTTTTCCCATCAAAAATCCTACATATATATGTTAGGACGAGGCATGATACTCTTTGTCAAGCTTCAGTCGATGGGCAATAGCTCGTGCAGTGCGGGTTATTCACTTGTTTGGACGAATGTTGATGTGCGTGTGCATGTGTGTATGTTTGCTACGTGACCAGAGCAAAAAGCCGTTGCTAAGGAAAAAAAAAGAAAAGATAGAGTTGTTGGCCGATTGTCGAGACTAAAAGACGTTTTTAAAAATCGCGAATTTGTTAAATCCGTAATTTTGTCAAGTCATTAAAGTCGTAACTTCATTAAGTCGTCTGATTCGTTATTTTGTTTAGTTGTTTAAGTCGTTAATTTGTTAAGTCGTTTGAGTCGTTATATTTCTAAACCGTTTAAGACGTATATCCTTAGTTCTTTAAGACATTCCGCGCTTGTTTTTATAATTCCTATTATTTTAAGAAGTGTTTAAACGTTTTTGTCATACCGATATTTTCCCAATATATACACCATCAAAATTTACCCTTAACCTTTTGTTTTGCTTCCCAACCCCTGATCTTACATAATTTTAGGGGCTCGTCTAGGATAGTTTAATCTATCGTGCCAAATCTGGTGTGCAAGCAATTTAATCGTTATTGCGATATCGGTACGGACTAAGACTGTGAAAGTATGACGTAAGATTACAACATGTCGACCAGAGATTCGAGCAGATTAACCGTAGCGTCGCTCAAGAAATTGTTGCAAAGAAGAGGACTAAGTACAAGTGGTGCGAAGGCTGAGCTAATGGCTCGATTGTATGATTACGATCCATCGGGTGAGTCGATGCCAAATTTTAGCAGCGACGACGTGAGAAGCCAAGTCGCCGACGGGCAGACAAATGAATTGTGTGCAGCAGCAGGCGACGATCCGACGCAAGATTGACGCGAGATGGATTTTCTTTGACGAGAAAAGGCGTTAATGGAAAAAGAATTGGAGATTGTGAAACGCAAACTGGAATTAGCGCGTACTTTACGATAGTCAAACGTGTCTATGCAAGACAAACCAGCGGTGCAAAGTCCGAACGCGCAAGTGGGCGTGAAGACGATAGCTGAGTTATTGAGTTTTTTTGATGGGAAGGCTGAAGATTTCCCTGGATGGAAGAAGCAGGTGATAGCATTGCGTACGACGTACAGGTTGAATGATGATGTGGCAAGAATCTTAATAGGGATGCGACTGCGTGGTAAAGCGCTAGAATGGATGCATTCGCGACCCGAATTTCTGGAAACCAACTTGAACGATCTGATGGAGAGATTTGAAAGTATGTTTTATCACAGGCCCAGTAAGTTGGTTTTGCGCAAGCAGTTTCAAGATCGTGTGTGGAAAAGAGACGAATCTTTTATAGATTATTATCACGACAAAACAATAAAGGCTAATCATGTACTGATTGAAGACCGCTACGAACTTATTGATTATTTAGTCGAAGGGATTTCCGATCCGACTTTTCGGAATTAAGCAAGGATGCAGTGTTTTGACGAAACCGAATTGTTATTGCGCGCATTCGAAAAACTAACCTTATCGTCCAGTACTTATGAGGACAAGACACGTGGAAAGCCGTTTCAGCAGACGACAGCGACGAGTGTCGACGGAAGAGGAAAGGCCGAATGCAGGACGATAGAATTGAATCCGCTGGCGTGTTACAACTGCGGGGAAAAGTGTCATCTCAGCAGAAACTGCCCAACGAAGGAACGCGGTTTAAAGTGTTACTGATGCGGAGAGCATGGTCATATGGCGTCGGGATGCCCGAAGCGCGAGATTAAAGAAACTGTAAGAAATATTAATGTGGTTCCCCCTGATCCTACTTATATAATAAATAAAAGCAGTTGCAATTGCATGTGCAGTTGCAATTGCATATGCGGTTTTAGTTGGTTGTGCAGTTTTAATTGCAGTAAAAATGTAAAAAAAATATTTAATAAAGGAAATGCAGGGTTACTTGCTGTTGCAGTTTGTTGTTCAGTAGCAGTAGAAAGTAAACTAAATGTATAATGTACAAAAAACGTAACTGCAGTTGCATTTACATCGGCAGTTGCAGTAGCATTAGCAGCTGCTTCTCCCCAGTGGGCAGGGGGTAATAGAATTCTCCCACAGTATTCCCTGCTTGTCGTAAGAGGCGACTTAAAGGGATGGTATGCATGGTGTGTGAATGATCTCGTGTGGCTATTTCTACCTTTAGCGCTTTCTGTCCCATCTTTTTCTACTCTTTCTCTTCTCTTAGACTTCCTTCCTTTCCGTTCCGTTCCCGCTGGGGCCCTGTACCCCATTTATTTGCAGTTCAGCAAATATGGAGGGTACAGCTTCAGCGAGAAACCGGTGTGGGAGGGAGACCAAAACCACGGCGGTGTTTAGTGGTGGTAGGACAGGCCACCCTCTGTCAACAGCAAGCAACTGTCAGGAGTCTGGGGTAGGTGACCTGGCCCTGACTCTGGTTGGAGCTACAGGAAGCGTATCGCGGGTAGGAGACCTGGTCCGGGGTGCGTCCAATGCGACAAAAAAGGAGAAGAAAGAGATGCGGACCGCGGGCACGGGCCAAGGAACGCAGAAGGGGAAGTCACCGAAGGGGTACTCTACTGCTTGGGTTAGGAGGGCAAGGCGGGTAAGACACTTAGTATATACGTTGTTGCGTATCCTATGCAACGAGTGATTAGGGCGAAGCGCCAGGGCGTACACAACCCTGCCGAGACGTGAGACACGCTCGACAAAGCAGTGTCTTTGTTTTTGGTAGTAGC